CCGACAATGAACCTTCGAGACCAAGTAGCGAAACGCTGGAGGAACCACTTGAATGTCAGCACAACTGATCTTAGACCAATCAAGTGGTTCCAAATAGTCAAAGCAAAGCCGGCCAAACGCGCCTCCCTTCAATGGCAGCTGGAACATCGCTGCCTACCCACCAATAATTGGCTCATAGATAGAACCACCCTGGAACAGAGAGGCTGTGCCCTCCCATGGTGCAAACTATGCATCAACTCATTCCCATCCAAAAAGCGACCGGAAACGATCGAACACATCTTCTTGCAATGCCCGGGGGCACTCTGGCTGTGGAGGTGGTGGGACAAAATTTGGGGGCAGCTGGAAACAATCACCCTGTGGCCGTGGGACTGGAAGGCAATCCTATTTGAAATCTGGCCCGAAGCCCACACGGACCAGCTAGATGCCTCCACCGACAACATGTTCAAAACAGGACGCAGGGCGGTGCTCTGGGCGCTATGGATAAGACGCTGTACATTCGAACTAGAAGGTGCCAGACTAGAAGGCCCTGAGTTCACGGAAAGCATACAGCAACAGGTTCAAATAGAAATAACTGCGGTATGGGAGGAGGTAAAAACACGAATCAGATTATCAGACTTCTTGACAGAAAAAAAGACATCCTACTTAAAATCCAGGAATTCAGTTCATGCTGGCTCGGGGGACCTGATGGGGGGAGGATAGGGAAGGTAGAATGGAAAGGGGAACCCCCCTGAATCCGGGCAAGACCAGGGACAGAGAGAGATAGTAAGAGACTACCGTCTCATATTTAAAGACTGGGCTCATGTGGATGCGGCCATCCCCCTAAAACCTGCTGGAGAATTTCCTGAAATTTTCCCTCCCCCCTCCAATTGCCTGGTAGAAATACAGTGGTACGGTGGATGAACGAAAGAATAGACAAGGAGAGGTCAGAGGAGCCCGTCAAATAGCAGCAGGAGGAGCAACGGAGCTTGCAAATAATAGCAGATAACTGGCGGTCCGGCCCACAAGGGACGCTGGACTTGGCTTGGGTCGCCTGGCAAGCAAGGGACTGTTTAAAAATAGAGAACTGACAGTTGTATAGCAGAGGGAGGAGACTTTGAGGCTTGTGGCTGGAAGTAAATTGGGATGGCGGGAGGGATAACTAGGAATTGCAGTAGGGATCTGGCGCCAATAAACATGGTGAAGAGGTTCCCCCCTGCCACCTGCGTTGCCAAAAGTTATCTGCATTGAAACCCGCACAGTCAATCCTCTGGACTCCAGAGTCATCAATGCTGGCAGGTGTTCTTTTTCCTTATGTTCACATTCATCACCCTGTATAAGGGACGCTGGACCCATTTTCCAGCAGGTGACGCTCCCCACCAATAGATGGAGCCTCCCCTCTGGGTGCTAGTGGTGACTGCTCTTACCAGCATCACTAGCACTGCGAGGGCATGTGTGTTTAAAATAATAATAATAATAATAATAATAATAATAATAAAATAAAAGACAGCCTCCACTGCGTCACTGACATCCAAAAACGGCTTCTACAGTTCTCTAGGGAGTGGCTGGGTGGGGACCGGGAGGGCTGGGTAGCGGAAATACGCTGGTCAGGGTCTTGGGATGGAGAGGGGGGGGGGCAGGGCAAACTCCGAGAGCAAGTGCCTAGGGACTACCAACTGAAATTTAAGGATTGGCTGATTGTAGACCCCAGTTTCCCCATGCGTCCTGCAGAAGAGTTTCCAGACTAGTTCCCTCCCCACCCACATGCCTTGGAAATATGCCTATAGCCGACCAACAAGTCCCCACTGTTATGATGCAGCCAACGTCCTGTTTTCCTCTTCCTTTTACTCTGTCTTTCTCCCTTTTCTTGCATTCCTGTCTAGGTAGTAGCCTGGCTCGCAGTCTCTCTGTTTGCCTTTTTGGTGATCCCCACTTGGTCTAGTCATTTTATGTCCGGTTTTCTTCATCTGTTTCCTTCTGTTCTACTCCGCTCTAGTTCGTCTGTTAGCCTCACTAGGCTGCAGTCTGTTTTCTTCAGTTTATCCCGGCCTATTACAGTTTCAGTCATTTTTCGTTTAAGTCAGGGACTTTCCTTTTCTACTACATTCAAATGGGCATCCCTCTGCAAGCTCCAATACTCTGTTCTGATGCAGAGTGGGCGTGTGGCAGCAAGGGGGTCGGTTAGAGAAGAGGGTCAAGGGGCAGTCTATTTTGGGAGATGGGCAAGGAAGACGATGGAGTCCCCACTGGTGGCCCCCAGTGGCTCCTCCCGGCTCCCTGACTAGGTACAGGGTTGAAGAGGGTGATGGCGACCATTTGGCTCAGTCAATCCTCTGGTCTCCAGAGCAATCAATGCTGGCAGGTTCCCTCCAGACACCATCCAGTTTCCTTTTTTACCATGTTGTATCCACTATGTAAGGGATGCTGGACCCGTTTTCCAGCAGGTGATGCTCCCCACCAATAGATGGAGCCTCCCCCCGGGTGCTAGCGGTGTCTATTCTAACAGCACCGCTAGCACTGGAGGGTTCATTCAAAAAAAAAAAAAAAAAGGGGTCCCAATTAGTTCAAGTTTAACACATCTCTTCTGAAACTCCACTCGTTTCAACAACTAGTCACAGACTCTTGATTATTGGACCATACAGAAACCAGAAGAAGCGCCGATCGTCAAATCGTTCAATGAAGGGATTGCGCAGCTAAGAGAGTGTGTTAAAAAATTCTCTCGGGACCGAAAAGCAATTATTGACAATCTGCTACTCAGGGTTGTCGAGCCCCGGCCCCGGGGCCCTGGCGGGGGTCCGGGGGTGGGCACCCCCAACCCCCTCCGGAACCCCCCCCCCTCCCCCCAAAAAAAAATAAAATAAAAAAAATAGTGGGGGGTGCGCAGCGAGAGCGCGGACCCTGTGGGCTAAACCCCACAAATGGAGTTTTGTACCCCACCCCGGACCCCCCCTGGGGCCACACCCACCACTGGGGGGACCGGGGTAGTTGTGGGTGCGGGGCCGGGGGCGGGGCCAACAGCCAGTGGGGGCGGGGTTGAGTGCTGG